CTTTCCTCCTTCCTTCCCTCCCTTCCATCCCTTCCTTCCCTTCCTTCCTTCCTTTTTCCCGCTCCTCTCTTTATTTTTTCTTTCTTTATTTTTTCTATTCCTATCTGTCTTTTTTTCACTTTCTTTTCACTTCATTTTCACTGTCATGTCTGCTCCCCTTCCCGCCCCCTTTCACTTACAAAACGTTCAAGGGGTTGAGTGGTGAACTCTGCACCTGCTGGTGCAGGGAGGGAGAAATCTTAGAATAATCCCTGAAACCTTCTAATGTGAGTTTTAATACCTTTAAACACCTTAGTGGCTACCTTTCTTCTAGGGAAGGGGAGGATAATGTCAATAAATATTAAATAAAGTGAGGTAGAATGTTGAGCCAACTGTCGGAGTTGCTTTTTGCAGTGCCACCAAACACAAACTTGGCTCGCAATGGGCTTCACTGTCCAGCCTGCTATTCCTTGGGGACGGACTACTGCCGAGTAGAAGGACTGGTTCCCTGCATCGGAAGGGAGACTCGGTGCCTCAGACTTTCTGGTTCTTTCAAGATAGGTGAGTTGAGTTGCTTGCTGTGTATGTAGAAGATGGATAGGTATCTCTTTGACCTCTGTAAACATCAACTGTGCATCTACAGAACCCTGACTCTGATCATATCATGTATAACATTTCAAATTTCTGTGCCATTACTCCTATCACATTGCTTATTTGATGTCTCCTGTTGATTGCATTGACTTACACTGGGTGATCCCTCCGCAGGGCTCTTTTTGTAGCAGGAACTCCTTTGCATATTAGGTGACACACCCCTAATGTAGCCAATCCTCCAAGAGCTTACAGTAGCCACTGTAAGAAGAGCTCTGTAAGCTCTTGGAGGATTGGCTACATTAGGGGTGTGTCGCCTAATATGCAAGGGGTTCCTGCTACAAATAGAGCCCTGCGTGAGTGGGAAAGGCAGGCTTAGGGTTGCCAGCCTCCAGGTGGGGCCTGGAGATCTCCCGCTTTCACAACTGAGCTCCAGCTGCAGAGATCAGCTCCCCTGGAGAAAACGGCTGCTTTGAAGGGTGGACTCTGTGGCACTGTACCAGGCTGAGGCCCCTCCCCTCCCCAAACCCTCCCCTCTCCCAGCTACACCCCCAAAGTCTCCAGGTATTTTCCATCCCAGACCTGGCAACCCTAGGCAGGCTATAAGTGTATATATCGTAGCCACACAGGGACAGGTGGGGAGATTTAATCCTTCAACCCTTCCCATGATTATTTTAAGGAAGATAAAACAAGGTGTTGATGCACAAAGAAATGGTGAGCGATCAGGTGACAGCAGTTCCTCCTTGCAAATTACTACTCTATCCCCCTTGGAGTGGGGAAGAGACCCAGTGATAGATCAGCTGCCAAGGATTCTTGAAGCTCCATGGCCAGATTCCAGATGTGCATAAGCATGTCTACACCCCGAGAATCCTACAGATGTAGAAACAGGTTCCTGTTCAGATGTGGTGTGGGGGAGGGGAGAGTTCTCCTGTCGAGGTTCCGGAAGTTTAACTGGTTCATTGACATGATCTCTACTAAATATTCCCTTCTCTCTAGCATTGCTCCATGGTTTATTTGGGAGGTGGGAACCACTGAAAGGGTGAGCAGCAGACAGTGGAAGCACTGAGCAGGAAATCTCAGAGCAAGCATGGGTGATAATCGTGCTCCATCACTCTTGGCTTTGAAGGAAGTCATTAGATGCTAGAGGAGCTCTTTGGTATTATGGGCAGCATTGTTCAGCTCAAGAAGGTGACGCAGATCCCTTAAGAGGCATGGTAAAGGGTGACTCTTCCCCAGCCTTTCCCCATAGCATCAGTCCTCCTGAGAGTTCCCATTTCAAATATGAAATGGCTGCTATGGGAGGTGGAGGCAACCACAAAATGGCCACTGCAGGAGGTAGACACACACACATACACAAGAGTTCCCAATACAGGGGACAAGATGAGTAATTTAAAAAAAAATACATCAGAAAAGAGGAGAGAGGTGGCAGTTTGTGCTGAAACAATGCTATTTTAATGTGCACAGCCAATCAGATCTCCAATACGAACCAGAAGCCCTGCTGAGCAGCAGCCGCACTTATTTATTTATTAAATTGGATTTACTAGGCTGCTCTTCCCTACAAGTAAGGCTCAGGGCGGCTTACAACAGGATTGATATACAGTCTCCGGCCCCGGTCACACGGGAGGATTTGCCCCACGGAGCTGACGGATTGAGGGCGGATTAAACCGGCGCAATCAGATGCCAACATCTGGCAAGCGTCGCACCCCCGCCCCCAACCCATCCTTTCCGGCTGAAGATGCGGAGTTTAAAAAAACCCTGCAAAAAACTAATACCTACTTGAAAATGCGCAGCAGGGGCGGCGGTGTGATCGCCAACTTGCCTGTCTCCCGCGGCATGCGAGTCTCGCTGCCAAACTGCACATGTGCACACATGTGCAGCTGATTCACCTCACTCTCCTGTCCATGGCTTTCCCCTCGGCATCTGATCATGCTGGGAAGCATATGCGCGGCAGC